TCAACGCCCCCACCCCCCTCAGCGGGCCACGGTAAAATTATTAAACGTTGACCGGTCCGCGGCGATAAAAAGGTTGGGGAGCACTGGTGTAGGTAACATCTTAGTTTTCCCTAATCATCTTCCAGAACAGCACATGAAAGGATAATTGAGTAATTAACCTTAGACTCTTAGGGTGGGACCACTGCTGGCACTACCTTACTGCCAGATGCTTGGTTCTGACTGGAGAAAAGGGTCTATCTTGCAGTGTTTGACAAAGGTATTGAAACTAGTCCATGTGGCTGCTTTGCAGATCTGCCTTGGCGTTGCCCCTGCCTTCTCCATCCGAAAGCAGTTTAAGCTCTCACTACTAGAATGTGCTTTCATTATTTGTGGCAACCTTTGTCTTTGAGACGTGTAAGCCTTTAACAGTACAATTGATCCATCTGGTTTTGAAGCTTTTGGTTCCTTTAGTGACTTCCAGGTAAGCCAAAACTTTTGTCATTTAATGGGTTACTGCAGAAAGATGGGATTGCTATATCCTGTGAAAAGGTGTAGCCACTTCGGTAGGAATTTCAGATCTATTTTGAGAATAATTCTGTCTGGAAATACCTTGGAGAAGGGGTCTGCAATAGACAAAGCCTGCATCTCACTTACTCTTCAGAAACTCTCATGTACTCTAGCAGAAACTAGTGCCACTAGGACAGTTTTAAGAGTAATATTTCAGTCTGATGTTCCCAGTATTATTATTATTATGAAGGATTTATATAGCACCAACAGTTTCCGCAGCGCTTTACAATATAAGGAAGACATTACAAATCGCAACACAATTCAAGACAAGATGGTAAGGAGGGCCCTGCCCGTGAGGGCTTACAGTCTAAAAGGGAAGGGCAGGTGATACAAGAGAGGGCTGCAGACACTGAGCGGTTGGTTAGGTGGAGGAGTCTAGCAGCTGCATTCATAATAGACTGAAAGGGGGATAACCTGTGTAGAGGTAGGACAAAGAGGAGGGAGTTGCAATAGTCAAGACGAGAGATAAGTGAGTGGATGAGTAGTTTTATGGTTACATTGGTGAGGAAAGGGCGTATTTTGGAGATGTTGCAAGGGTGCAGGCGGCAGGATTTAGATAGTGATTGGATGGGGGGTGCGGAAAGGTGAGGTCCGAGTCAAGGATGTCACCTAACACCTTGGCATTGGGGAAGGTTGGATAGTTGTGTTATCAATCTCAAGGGAAAAGTTGGGGGAAGGTGCACGGGGTGGAGGAAATATCATAAGCTCAGTTTTTAAAAGGTTGAGCTTCAAGAAATGTTGTGACAGCCAGACTGATATGTCAGTTAGTAGATTAGTGACACGCAAGGACACCGAGGGAGGTGAGTTGCAGAGTAGAAAGATATATTTGAGCATCATCGGCATAGAGATGGTATTGGAAGCCATGTGAGGTTATTAACTGACCAAAGGAAGAGGTGTAGATAGAGAAGAGAAGGGGTCCAAGGTCAGAGACTTGGGGGACCCCTACAGAAAGAGGAAGAGGGGAGGAATTAGATTTGTAGGCGACACTAAAAGGAGCGCTTAGCTAGGTAGGAGAACCATGAAAGAGCAGAGCCTTGGATGTCAAGTGAGTGGAGTTTTCTGAGGGGGAGCAGGTGGTCAACAGTGTCAAAAGCAGCAGAAAGGTCTAATAGCAAGAATAAGGAGTAGTGGTCATTGTTTTTAGCAGTTAGTAAGTCATTAGTGAGTTTTATGAAGGCAGTGTAGGGGGCGAAAGCCAGGACTGTAAGGGGGTCAAGGTTTGTTATCAGCGATGTGGCGGCTCAGGCGGCTGTAGATAAGGTGTTCTGGGAGTTTGGAGGTGAATGGGAGTAAGGAGATTGGTAGGTCCAGTACATGAATAGGGGAAGGTGACTGCACAGTGGTGATCTGATCCTGAATTGTATCTATTTTGTTTTTGAAATGAATGTCCTGGGCAGTGAGTGAGTTGGTGGCGGTAGGGGACATAGTAGAGCGTTAAAAGTAGAAAAAAAAGGCTGATGTGGTCCGGATGAGAGAGTGTTAATGAGTGACAAAATAAGTCTGTTTGGCAGCACAGAGGAAGGAATTATATTTTAGGACGACAGCTTTATACAGGGTGAAATCTTGCAGAAGCCTAGTTTTCTGACACGGTCGCTCAAGAGCACGGCTATGTCTTTCTAGATGTATAGGTTCAAAAGGAGGTTGTTGCATGACTAAGGTTTTCAGAAACCTCTAAGCTAATCATATCCCTAAAGCAGTAAGACAGGGAAGCTACTTGAACTTTGGAGTGTGTTAACTTGGCAAGTTTTTGTCTGCCCCATCCTGCAGAAAATCTAGCACAGAAACCAGAGTACTAGGGGGTTGTTCTTCCCACTTGGATAACCACCAATTCAAAGTGTTTTACACGCTCTCAGATAGCAGTAACATTTTTGCAATTAGACATGATCCTGTACACAGCAGTAAAAAAAGGGTTGCGATTTCATAAATCCTCAATTCAGGTGCAAAACAGCCAGTTTTAAATGTTGCACTTCGGGATGCCACTCTGGTGCCTTGTGGATAAGATGTGGGAGGTTTGACAAAATTCAAGATGGGCAGACGCTCAACCTCTGGAGGCTGCAGACTCATAGCCTTCATGGCCGGAAGGGGGGG